GCAGTGGCTTCCACCTCTACATCCTACAACTAGATGTTGAATCATACGCTAGGCAAAATTTTTACCTTTTTGCACTAAATTCGTCCATTCGCTTTTACAGTGAACCCCCTCGTATACTTCTTTTACTATTTAACTCAAAGCCATCTTACAGATGATCACATCCTTAGGCAAGAATTGTCGTGAATCAATTTATTACTTATTACTGTTTACCTCTATGTGTTAGGAGAGTCGCCGTGGCCGAGCGGCTAGACGCTCGCCCCGGATCGGAAGTTCGTGGGTTCGCTCCCTGGCGGAGCTGGACTATTTTCAAAAATGACCTTGGCTTTCAAGGTCGACCCAGCCTTGTGTGGGTACCGGGTGCAGTCCCGGGAAGTAAAGGCGGCTGGCGTGATGCTGCCACATCACCCATCTTGTGCCGATTGGTCTATAAAAATATAGTTCAAGCCCTATATGCCCTATACTCCTAAAGGCGTGGAAAAGGGTCCTTTACTTACTTATTTGTCTATGTGTTGGATTTGTGTGCGTGTTTGTGCGTATGTGGGTGTCAGAGAGAGAGAGAGAGAGAGAGAGAGAGAGAGAGAGAGAGAGAGAGAGAGAGAGAGAGAAAGCGTGGGTGTAAGAGATAGAGACTGTATGTGTGAGAGAGACATAAATTAATAGACGGCTAGTCTTTCAAAACTAAAAACACATTTTTCACCAGAGAAACGCAAGTCAAGTACAGAAAACCTAGAAAATGGGCCACAAACTGGTAATAGCATGGGGACAAAAGAAGATTGTTTGGCCTATTAACACTCGTGGAGATAGGGTAACCTGACTGGATGACAAAACTCGGCTGTATCTGTGTTTATATTTTCACTACTCCATTGTCGTGTCTGGATGGAGTCTGTGCTTTGACAGCCGCACTGTGTGACTGTTGGGTTTCAGATAAGCACACCGTGATATTTGTCTACCAAACTATTACCAGTCAACATGGAGGGTTGAGCATTCGCATGTCCTTCTTCTTGGCGTTTAGCGGCTGTAAAATGTTACAGCAAGTTTAAGCTGTTCGTCTCCCTCTGGATTCAAGTTAGGCGTGCATATACTTGATCTTACTTGTTTGTGTGCAGACTGTTAGTTCCTTGTCCTTCTCAGGAATTCCGTCTTCGGATGAGTCACCGATTTTTAGTCTACTTATAGACCATCCTTGTTGTGGGGTGGATGGGAAAGGGGTGGGGGGGGGGAATTCTATTCTTTTGACCTCAAAAATGGCCACAGGAAATCACAGGAAGAGGGTTAAGTTTGACTTAAATATACTCGTATACTATACACATGACAATTACTTGATCTGGATGATAAATCTTCTTCTTCTTCTTCTTCTTCTTCTTCTTCTTCTTCTTCTTCTTCTTCTTCTTCTTCTTCTTCTTCTTCTTCTTCTTCTTCTTCTTCTGCATAGGCCTTCAAAAAAAAAATCTGGAACGTTGTATCGCATTTTAAGCTAGGTTGCAATGTATGTGCTTTCGGCTGTACACATCCGATTTCAGCAAATTCCTAATTAGTCGCCTTTTACAACATGTTTGCTAAGAGGACCTTTTGTCCATTCTCAGCAACCCTGCCCCACCCCCCACCCCCAAATGGGCCACCAGAATCCATACAGGAAAAGAAAACAGATGAAACAAATGTTCTAACTGCTAAACAGATCTATCATGTACAATACTTAACAAACTATGACACTGATGCTCGACAGATGGATAGGAAAATTCGCATACATAGTTTGCATTGTGGTCACTTACTTCCTAATATAAACTGGACTGAAGTCAACATCATCACCATTAAGTGCCTGTCGACTGACCTCTCCCCAACCTGACATCTCCATGTATCTATTCATGTTTTGACACGCCGTCCGTGCCACCACACAAGGCTGTCAAGCATCTTCTCACTTTGTCGCTCTTTCCACAAAACTTCACCCTTCTCATTGCCTTATTCTCATCACGTGACCGCCTTCTTGTGATGTTTGCGATAAATTATCTTAGGACCTTTGCCTCTTCCAACACTTAAGATAATCTCATTTTGGCTGAATTTGAGCATTCTTCTGAATTAATAGGCTTTTTGTGTCTCATTTTGCAGTACCGGCACTTCTTGATGCGTTTTTCCCCTAGCGCACATTTAATAGACATTTGTGGTGAGTACCGGCACCTTTGTAGACACTTTCTATTTAGGACTGGCACTAGTTTTTTTTTTTTTTTTTGAAAGAAAAAAAAGGCGCTTCTATAAAACAGAACATATCTGTCGCCTGGACTGAAGTCACTCATATTGTAATGTAAAGTAAAAACGCAAGAATAGCTGACATCAAAAAGAGTGACATGGATCCGCTCACTTGTTACCCTTTAGTGTGCAAATGAAATTACGACCTTAACCTTCTTTGCATTTGCAATACTTAGTTCAACCAAACAATCTATTGACACGGTCAGCAGCACATGTTGTCTTCTTCGTGTATTTAATTTACAAGATGACACACACCGATAGCTCTTAGGGCTATCCTTCGAATAACGTTCCTAAATTATCGAGGCTAAAAAAAAACACACTAACAGTGCCTCAATGTTTGTGACTGTGCCGCCCCTTAGGGCTATCCTTCGAATAACGGTCCCAATTTATCGAGGCCAAAAAATATATACCCAAACAGGGCCTCAATGTTTGTGACTGTGCCGCCATTAAACGGCACTAAATATTCAGCAAACAACGCGCGACTAGTGACGCCGTGGTGACGTCACGTCCGCGTAAGTGCCATCCATAACCCTTCAATCGATAGTGTCGCGTTTCCACTGTTGTGACAGATTCTTGTGGCGTTGTCGTAATTGCAATACTCCTTGCCTTAATCCTAACAATAAACCCAGGACCCAGGAAGGAAGCTAAACCTAGGACCCACGGGAGAAGCTAAACCTAGGACCCACTGGAGAAACTAAACCTAGGACCTAGGGGAGAAGCTAAACCTAGGACCTAGGGGAGAAACTAAACCTAGGACCCAGGGAGAAGCTAAACCTAGGACTAAGGGGAGAAATTAAACCTAGGACGCAGGGTAGAAGTTAAACCTAGCACTCAGTGTTGGAGCTGTTGACACCCTGGATGATTTGGGACCGTTTTTCGGAGGAGTGTTTCTCGCGGTATGCGGTATATTCGCTGGAAAAAAGTCCGCAATTTACAAATGACTGAGGCCTTGTTAGAGGTTTTTAGTCTTGATATTTTGGGACCGTTATTCAGAGAATGTCGGCTCTGTGGCTAAGTCGATGCGAACGCTTCGTAATGCCGGGATGCCGGGTTCGATCCCAGCTGCGGGCCATGCGCCTTGCGTTGGTTTCGACAGTAGTATCAAGAAAGCCGACCGTCCAGCAGAAATGGCAAACTACTGGACGTAAATTTGCCTAGAAAAACCACACAACAGCCAGGGGCTGTTGGGGTTGGTTCTGCAACGTGCTGTAAAGAATACGCAATCAACTTACCTACTCGACTCATACACTTGTTGGATTAACAGGCATGCATCACGACACTGAACGTTCATTCACCGTTGAATTTATGTAGGTTTCACCCCTTCAATCATCCCTAGAAATTTGAGTCCAGCATCATATGGCCGATGTGCCACTCACGTAAATAAGACTCCCTTACTTGTTATAGACCAGCCTGCAACCTGATATTCTCCCTAATCATCCTAGTTTGCTGTGATAAGGAATGTCAGCAAACACCATGATACACCAACCGTGCTTCCCGGGCCACCAGCTCGTCTACTTACAAGACACGATGACCTTCCCGAGCTCACTTGAGATAACAAGAAGCAGGGATGAATTTGTTTTTTCCTGTCATTAACTTTTTTTTCGTTAAGAGCCCAAGCGCCAGCAGGAACTGGCGAAAAAACAAATTTATATTCACAACAATATGCTATGTGATTATTTGCTGGTGATTGTTTTGTACGATTGTTTTGTACTTTTTCCGAGAATTCGAAACCAGAAGTAATACCCAGGTTTTTCTTTTTACTAATTGTCCTGAAAATTTATTTTCCTACACAAACATATCTTTAAAACTACAAGTAATAATTTCCAGTTTATTTCGGAAGATTTTTACACTAAATTACACTGTGCTCATAAAAGCGAGCGCGCACGCGCTCGAGTGTTGTGTGTGTGTGTGTGTGTGTGCAAGATTTGAGCTCGATATCTAATTGGGATGTAATGTAAAGATCAAAGACAATGTTGTGAGTGAGTGAAGTTCAACCCCACAACGAGCAATTAACACGCGGTGACACAAAGTGCCACTATTCGAAATAAAATCCCCTAGGTGCAAGTCCCAGTAACCCGGTTCAACGGTGAGGTTAAATTATGCCCCCCCCCCCTTTTTACGGTTACGAAGTACCTAAAGTCCAGCACGGGTGGGGCTGTAATGTAAAAAAAAAAATGGCGTCCCATGTCGGGACGGATTTAATGTAGAAGACAGTGTTTTGCCCATACACAGATCCATACAAAGATTCATAATATGAGATTTGGGCTAGGTTACGTGAGCAAATGTTTGAAACCCCTCTGTTATAAAAGTGTGCGGCTGTTTTGTAATTACTGGGATCGAAACGGCGAATAGACTGAAAAAATTGGGACATATAAAGAGAATGATAGATAACAGAGAGACACAAACGTCTTACATAGCTGAATGACAGAAGACCACGAGGCAGACAAAGAAGACCGTGGAGAGATAATATTCGGGCGAACCTGGAAACACTGGCAGTCGCCAGCAGGAAGTAGAAAGCCAGTCACAGTACGAGTATGTTTGTGTGTGTGTGTGTGAGAGAGAGAGTGTGTGTGTGTTTGTGTAAGAGAGAGAGTGTGTGTGTGCGAGAGAGTGTGTGTGTGTGTTATAATGATGTCTTGAAAATGTCAACATCTGTAATGACAACTGGATGTACATGACAAGTAATCTAACCCCTCCCTCCCTCCCCCCCCCCCCCGATATTTATTCTCCAGTAACGCCACCAAGAACAAGAAGACAAAATGACGGGCCCTATTACTGCAGTAGAGGACCAAGTAACACAACTTGCTCTGTATCTGATGAAGGTTGACATGTTCCCTGTCTTCTTCATCGCCCACTTTTGCCTGTCCTGTCTGCTCGTCAGAGAAGATTCCAAAGATGTGGGTAAGTGTTGCATGTTCCCACCATTCATCGATTTGCTAACGATTTTACAAAATATTGTCTGTTGGTGTCGAGATCAGGACAGAGGTCATCTGGTAATAAACTCGAAGGGATGTTTGGAGTGAGGAAAAAATATAAATAAACAAAAACAGAAGGAAAGAAAAAAAGAAAGTAAGAAGAAAAGAAAAAAGAAAGAAAGAAAGAAAGAAAGAAAGAAAGAAAGAAAGAAAGAAAGAAAGAAAGAAAGAAAAGAAAAGGTATCATCCATACTCCTTGAGGTGTATACGGATTGTGAAGCTAGCGTCATATGCATCAGCGACCGGCTTGCCGGTAGACGACTTCGTCACCGGTCGGGAAAGAATTTGGGCCTGTCTCTTTGATCGCATCAAAACTGCAGGATCCCTTTCATGTCTCTTGATGGCGTGCAATGCTCTGCCATTTTATGTAGCGCACATAACCTAGTCACAATTATAACCTAAAGCTTTCCCTTCCAGGATGCTCGTTGAACGTGTTGATTTGTTGTTCCAGCAAAGTATCTATCTACCTACTTAGCTTCTTATGTTTGTTAATAGAGCAACTGTCAGTTGGGGAACAATGTAGTCAATATCACGCCTAGCGCCTAACTTGGTACCCATTTTGGTTTGGGCCTTGCAGTCCAAGTCATGTTAACAAAATTTTATTCGACTGACATTCGAACTTATGCCTTTCGGGGCGGTTGGCTGGCCTGATGGCCACCTCGCTATCGATGCTCCACGTGAATCAGTTGTAGCTATTGAAACGCTCACTTTGTCCAAATTTAACCTCCCTGCGAGTCAATCATTTCTTGCTAACACATAAGGGCAAAACAATTTCGAAAGCATTTACAGTAAGTTACTTTCTAAAAGTAACTGGAGGTGAAGGCGGCCGGTGAGACGTTTACAAATTACAATGTGAATGCCGGTTAAGTTTACAATTGTGGGCCTAACACCACATGCTTGTGAGGCCAACGGCTTGAAGACGAACCTTGACTTCTACTTGTTAAATTTACTTCTCAATACTCGAAAGCCCCACGCCTCCATGACATGCATTTAAGTACATCAATGACCTGCTTTGGTTACACAGTTAATCTGCCTCTTCTTCTTCTTTCGTTCGTTTGAAATAGATTATCTATATCTGCAAAGTTGTCTCTAGTATGAATTTCGCTGTTTGTCATAATTCAGTCAGCAACCCGTAAAGTTCGGCTTGTATCGATGTTTCGTTTGGCCAAAAGTTTTGCCTTGAAATGTATTTGGGACAGTCTTGGATGACGTGATCTGTTGTCTCAGGTGCTAATTCACATGTGCACATGGCTGATTCGCCAGTCTTAAATTGTATGTACATGTGGCTGCGAAGTCGATTGTGTCTTCCCCCGTGTGGGTTCCGAGGCCCTATTGTGGGGAAAACAAGAATATACCCACTGCCTCCCCAAAAGCATGTCGTAAGAGTCGACTAACTGGGGAGCTTCCTTTGAAGTCGGAGTGCATCTGCCTGAGAGGCAAGGAACTAGCAGTCTGCATTCAATTGAATCAGATCTGTAAAACTGATGCACACGCAACACTCAGGTTCTGGAGCAGGACTGCAGTCCAGAAGTGGACGAACAACCAGAACTTTACGCCAGAGTGTACAGCTGGTGAACGCGAAGAAGAAGAATTGTGTCTTGTTCTAAGGCGTACACAGTTAATGACATCACTCATAAGGCGGAGCTTGAGGAAAATGGGAATTAACATTATCCGAAGCTCTTTCCGGTGCTATAATTGATTATCTTCGAGTACACAAATCTATTTCTCGGTTAGTGATGGACAAATCACAAGCTGGATAAATGTATGCCAGTATACTAGGAACGATGCTGTGACCAGTGATAGAACCACAGTTGGCAGAAGAATATATTGGATTTAGGAAAAACAGAAGCTGCACAGATGCAATCTTCACACTTCAACAATTATTAGAACAGAAAATCGAATACGATAAGAACCAATGTGTGGCATTCGTAGACCAGAAGAAGGCATTCGACAGAGTCAATAGACAAGTATTTTGGCATGCAATGACACCTTATGAAGCGAGAGAACATCACATCGGAGTATACAACAGTTTATATAGAGACTGTAGAAGCGCAGTTAGAATCAGGAAACACTAACTAGTGGTCCTCAACTTGGGTATGGGGGAAGGGGAAGGGGAGGGGCACAATGAGGTTTCAAGGGAGGCGTGAAGCAATTGTGAAATTGAGTGCATTTGTACTTATTATAATCCGTTATATTTATATTTTGATTTCGTTGAAATAAATATAAGCAAAATTTTTCAACTAGTTATTAAACATAACAAGGACGTATTTGTTTTTATGAGCAGTATGTACATCCACCTTTACAAATCTAATTAACAGGATAACACACGCATTTAATTATAGATTAAGAACACATTCTGATCAAAACTTATCTCTATACTTTCTATTTCCCCTGTGAAATCTATTGTTCTCCGTTTTTAACTCAAGGGGCGTGAGGGGGGGGGGGAAGGAGGTTTGCCATATACTCAAGGGTGAAGGTGCATCAGGGTATTGCCATATACTCAAGGGTGAAGGTGTGTCGGGGTCTTGCCATATACTCAAGGGTGAAGGTGTGTCGGGTTCTTGCCAAAAACTCAAAAGGTGAAGGTGCGTCAGGGTCTTGCCATATACTCAAGGGTGAAAGTGCGTCAGGGTCTTGCCATATACTCAAGGGTGAAAGTGCGTCGGGGTCTTGCCATAAACTCAAGGGTGAAGGTGTGTCGGGGTCTTGCCATCTACTCAAGGGTGAAGGGGTGTCGGTGTCTTGCAAAATACTAAAGAGGTGGAGATGGGGGTGGAACAGGGGGGGGGGGGAGGCTGGGAAAGAAAAAAAAAGATTAGAGACTACTAATCTAAACCATTCACAGTAACATCCAAAGTAAGGCCAGGATGTGTCTCTATCATGACAACGATGATGAGGAAAATGATGTTTAGCATGTTTTCTGTTTTATGGCGACTGAATGAAATAATTATAATTATTTTATAGTCATATTAACACGTCAAACAGAGCAGTTTTTTCTATTGTTCTCCAAACAGGAATAAAATTTAGACAAAACCACCCCTTTGCCTCATGGTTGTGTTCCGTAGTAACTGCCCTGTCTGGATTGTTTGTGTTGAACTTTCTCTTTGGCAAACCTTTAATTGAAGCTGCGAAGGAAAGCACACTGGTTACAGTTATCACAGTTATATGGTGAGTGATGTCTCAAACATTGTATCACAGTTATCTGGTGAATGATGAATCAAGAATTGTATCACAGTAATATGGTGAGCGATGTCTCAAACATTGTATCACAGTTACATGGCGAGTTATGTCTCAAATATTGTATCACAGTTATTTGGTGTGATGTCTCAAACTTTGTATTACAGTCATATGGTGAGTGATGTCTCAAACATTGTATCACATTCGTATGGTGAGTGATGTCTCAAACATTGTATCACATTCAAATGGTGCGTGATGTCTCAAACATTGTATCACATTCATGTGGTGAGTGATGTCTCAAATTTGTATCACATTCATAAAGTGAGTGATGTCTCAAACATTGTATCACATTCATAAAGTGAGGGATGTCTCAAACATTGTATCACTTTCATATGGTGAGTTATTTCTCAAACATTGTATCGCAATTACATAGCGAGTTATTTCTCAAACATTGTATCGCAGTTACATGGCGAGTTATGTCTCAAATATTGTATCACAGTTACATGGTGAGTTATGTCTCAAATATTGTAACACAGTTACATGGTGAGTTATGTCTCAAATATTGTATCACAGTTACATGGTGAGTTATCTCTCAAATATTGTATCACAGTTACATGGCGAGTTATGTCTTAAATATTGTATCACAGTTACATGGTGAGTTATCTCTCAAATATTGTATCACAGTTACATGGCGAGTTATGTCTTAAATATTGTATCACAGTTACATGGTGAGTTATGTCTCAAATATTGTATCACAGTTACATGGTGAGTTATGTCTCAAATATTGTATCACAGTTACATGGTGAGTTATGTCTTAAATATTGTAACACAGTTACATGGTGAGTTATGTCTCAAATATTGTAACACAGTTACATGGTGAGTTATGTATCAAATATTGTAACACAGTTACATGGTGAGTTATCTCTCAAATATTGTATCACAGTTACATGGCGAGTTATGTCTCAAATAATGTATGGCAGTAACATGGCGAGTTATGTCTCAAATATTGTTTCGCAGTTACATGGCGAGTTTTGTCTCAAATATTGTATCGCAGTTACATGGCGAGTTTTGTCTCAAATATTGTATCGCAGTTACATGGCGAGTTATGTCTTAAATATTGTATCACAGTTATTTGGTGTGATGTCTCAAGCATTGTATCATAGTCATTTGGTGATTGATGTCTCAAACATTGTATCACAGTTACATGGTGAGTTATGTCTCAAACATTGTAACGCAATTATTTGGTGTGATGTCTCAAACATTGTTTCACAGATATATGGTGAGTGATGTCTCAAACATTGTATCATAGTCATATGGTGAGTGATGTCTAAGCACTGTATTTTCCACATCTCCTTTATTAACAATTAGCTTACTGTTGAACGGCAGTAAACTTGAAAATCGTTGGTTCCAGGTACCTGTTGAACTATTCACCTTCAGATGTGGTCTACAAGATTGTCACATTTACTCCGGTGCTGCTGTCTGCTTCAGTGTTGCAAGAGTGTCTTCGTGTACGCTTTATTTACCTGGGAATCCAGACGGCTGCCCAGGAGTATCCAGGGCACTTCCTGGTGATCCTACTGGCTGGAGTCATCAATGGTATGTCAACTAGTGTTGGTCTTGTGAAGATGTGTTCTTCTTCTGTGTCTATTTAAAGAAATGTTGGCACGTTAAGCTGTGGTTTACAGCAAGGCTGTGATTTCTACGTTGTTTAACCCATCGTATCCTATTTAAGCTACTATGTAATTATTCACTTTTACTACAGGCTTATCACTGCCCCCACATTCCCCCTTTCCACTAAAATTAGCAGCTGTGGAATCCGCATGCGGGGTCAATATCCTTTTCTCTAAATGTTTTTTTTTTTCTGGGGTATTTTATTTTACATATCACCTTATATTTTATGTTTCCGACATAAGCTTAACTCTCTCTAATTCAAGTAATCATTAAAAATTATTCTTTTTCTTCTACTGTCATTTATCACCCAATGTAGCAAAGGCCCTCAACCAAATCACCCCAAGTTGACATATCGTATGCTATCGAATACAGCTCATCACATGTCCGCCACATCTTTTTGACTTCACTCTATTTTCCTTCTTTATATGGGCTTTTTGGTCTGCCTTTATATCTATGCCTATGCGGGTTCCAGTGTAAAGCCCTTCTAGTTGTATTTTTCTCAAGTTTTCTCAACATGCGTCCTATCCAGAGCCAACGTCTTTTCTCTTCACCCCTTTATTCACTTGAATTTGTTTAGCTCTCTCCCAAAGCTCTACACTAGTGATTCTAATCATTCCATTAAATTCCCCCTATTTTGCGCAAACACCGGTAAGTTAATGTTTGTACTTTGTTAGTAATCGTTTTAACTTTTACTAGTTCTCCTTGTTTCATCTCCGTGCAGCATAGCCGATCTGACGTTACACTTGACAAAACAAAGATGTTTATTTTCAGTTTTAATCTCACGTGGCTACAACAATTTTTCTCTAGTGCTACAACAACTCCTCTTTCCTTCATTGCTATAAAGGTCAGTTTATGTCATAAATGAAGGAAATGCAGTAACAAACAGGAAAGAACAACAGTAACAACAAACTATGACCAAGTCTTATGTTTCCCTATTTACACAGTATACACTTTTAATACCTAGGAAGTGTACTAGAAGCAAAGCAGAGGGAGTATCTTTTAATGGAGGAAAGAGAAGAGATAACTATAAAGGATAATATGGAAATCTACTTCTTGAAATCTTCTCGACTCCGAACCAACAAGAGTTCTAACAATGTGACATGCCGAGTGAGAGCCAAAACCAAACCTTAAGCTGCCTCAGTAACAAAAAGAAAAAAAAGAGAAAAAGTTAGTTTAGGCGGTGTAAGATCAAAAAAAATATCTCACCCTGACAGGAAATCTTCTGTGTGGGGTCTAATATAGTGTAACAGTAAAACCTAGGCACACAAACTAAAAAAAAAGAGAATGTAAGTCGACAAATACAGAAACTTTATTTACTTGATGACATATAACAATAATACTTGATGATACACTGCGAACACTAAGTATACTAAAGAACTACTAATTGAAGGTATACGAGCAGACCAGCAGAAAACTAACCAAGCAATTAGTAAACCAATGAGTAACAAAATACTGACAGCTACTAGCAGACCAACAAATCAGCTATAGCCACCAAACTATCTCCTAGCGAGAATACACATTGGAAATCACTCTAACACAATCTAACCAAAAGAAACGCACCATTATCGTAAATACGAGCCAGTCTAGCGTCGCTCAGCCGGTCCGATCTGACACACCTGTGCGTTGAGACTAAGTGCAGTCAACAACGGCAAACAGGGCATCTTGACCATACCGTGCTGACCACAAAGCGACCGCCAAATTAGGAGGCAAATATTGAGTCAGTTGGCCTATTTATACCCAGTGGCCAGATTTTTCCGCTTTACCGTCTAAAGTTAATAGTTGTTCCTGTGGCCTCTTAGTCATTTTTAAACCAGATTAAATCAAAATCGTTGAGCTGCTGAATAGCAGTATTTGTCATTTCCAGCCTATAACAGAAGTATATTCTCGGAGGACGGGGGAATAGATACCAGATGTCAATGAGCCAGTGCACTTATATACCAACTGACACAGTTATTAAGACATCCAAACATGCGTATGGGCTACAAGAAACAGATTATAAACATCATATTTTTACCAAAACAAGGGCTAAACTTGGACATTCTCACAAGCTAACGGTCGTCAAATTAGCACCTGTGAAACGAGATGCTTGAAAAAGCCACCAGCGAAACCATCCGAGACAAAGTTGGAAATGATATTATCAGACAGATTGTGGGAACATCGTGCAGCAAATTCATTGAGGAAGAGAAGATCAAATGGTTTGGTCATCTAGAAAGAATGCAGCCAGAACAACTACCAATGCAGGCGCTTCACATGAAAAGATCTGATGTGAAAGCAAGAGGTCAGTCACCATTGGAGAATATTTTTTGATGACATTAAAGAGGAAATATATCGTCACGGAATGACAATAGCCACTGCTGCCCATCACGCAATGGATTGCATACTGCTTCTCCCCACAACGATTAACGACAAAAGTGAAAATTGCAGATTGGCGATGACCCTTTCATTTGCCCGACATTTTGATAAACTGTGCCATAATAAAGGAAGAAGGTGACTTTGAAACGAATTGACGAGCGGTAGGGCTAGAAGTATGGTTTTCATGCAAGTTTGTGTTAGAAATAACAAATTTAAATATAACTTGATTTTGATATTGGGTGTAATACAGGAAATGGTTACGGACTTATTAAGGTGGCTGAGCGTCTCATTCGAGGGAAGTGGACGCCAGATACCAATGAACTGTTGGATGTTACATAGTAAGTACGTTGTGTGTTTTGTTTCATTTCATGTATCCCCTCGTTTGTTGTATCACACATATCAAAAGGTAAGTATGTTAAATGTTCGGTTCAGGAAATTTGCTATCAAATAGTAAGTATGTTAAATGTTCGGTTCATGAAATTTGCTATCAAATAGTAAGTATGTTAAATGTTCGGTTCAGGAAATTTGCTATCAAATAGTAAGTATGTTAAATGTTCGGTTCATGAAATTTGCTATCAAATAGTAAGTATGTTAAATGTTCGGTTCATGAAATTTGCTATCAAATAGTAAGTATGTTAAATGTTCTGTTTATGTCATTATCCGTCAAATTTGTCCGAACCTGAGGGTTCAGATCCATTGAGCACCCATACCCCCAACCATGTGTAGAAGTTCTCTTTTTAAATGTTCATTCATACATTTGCTATTATTTCAAATATAATTTTATATTTATTTGCCATTCAGCACAATATATATATATATATATATATATATATATATATATATATATATATATATATATATATATATATATATATATATATATATATATATATATATATATATATATATATTAACTCTCTGAGTCCCAAGGAACGCATCATATGTTCATAGATTCCCGCCTAGAGGCCCAAAGAACGCAAGATGCGCCGATTTTAATCTCTTTAGACTAGCTTTTGGGCCTCTGATGCTAAACCCCCTGGGACTCAAAGAGTTAAAAACGCTGAAAAAATATATTTAAAATATTGAGAGACATTGATTTGTGTTTTTTGTGCATGTTGCTCTGCTTCCTCATTTTGTGCATGTTGCTCTGCTACCTCATTTTGTGCATTTTGCTCTGCTACCTCATTTTGTGCATGTTGCTCTGCTTCCTCATTTGGTTAATCATTTTGGCCACAGTTAACTTACTTAATTACAATATATATGTGTGTGTGTGTATAAATATATTATTTTATATATATATATATATATATATATATATATATATATATATATATATATATATATATATATATATATATATATATATATATACTTAGGCCTATATATACATATGTATATACACATGTATATATATGTATATATGTGAGCATTTAAATAAGTGTAATCATATATATAGCGTGGCAAGATGACCACTCTCTGATCCTGATCAATGCCCCCTCAGATACTCCTACCTTCTACTCCAGAAGGTGGCAGACAACGTCAACCCCAGATCTTGCCTTTTCTACCCCAGATATATCTGGAATGATAAGTAGAGAGGTGGGAGACCAGCTGGGGGGCAGTGACCATCGCTCGATTTTTCTCACTGTCCAGAGTGTACCAGTTAACACAGGCCCAGTCATCACAAGATGGAACTACAAGAAAGATAACTGGGGCCTGTACCGACACAGGACAAGCACATTGTTGTCTGCACTCAAGGTACAAAATAGGGATATCAATGCTATAGTGCACGATTTCAATAGAAGTATTCTACAAGCTGCAAAAGAAGCAATCCCCAGAGGCTGTCGACACAACTATAGACCGTACTGGTCTAGCACACTCCAGGAATGCCAGGAAACAATGAATCAGGCTAGAAAGGATGCAGAATCCCAACCTTCACCTGACAACCACATCAAATGGAAAAAGGCTGTAGCAGTGTTCCAGAGAACTAAACTTGAAGAAAAACAGAAAAGCTGGAGAAATAAAACAGCAGCTCTAAACCTTAATAAAGATGGCAAGAAACTCTGGAGATTAGCCAAATCACTCAATGAAGAGAGTTTCTCTCCTAGACAAACAATCACTCTAAGTGATGGTGACAAAATCTTCAGAGGAAAACAAGCTGCAGATTTGTTTGCCAGAACATATAGTGTTGAAAGCAACCTGACCCTTAATGAGGACCATCAGAGAGAAATAAGGAAAGAAATACAAACAAATAAGAGACAGACAGATACTCCTGCCTCTATGAGGGAGCCATTTACCATGGGCGAACTACAAAATGCCATCTTTAGGCTTAAGTTAAAAAAGTCTGCAGGTCCAGATGAAATCAGCAACGAAATGCTAATCAACCTGACCTCATCTGCTAAAGTAAAGCTGCTGGAAATTTTCAACATCAGCTGGGAGAAAGGTTTGGTGCCTCAAGTATGGAGAGAAGCCATCACAATACCTATTTTAAAAAAAGGAAAAATTAAGACACAGGCTTCGAGCTATCGCCCAATTAGTCTCACGAGCTGTGTAGGAAAGACTTGGAAAGAATTGTAAATTCAAGACTGAAATGGCACTTAGAATCTGAGCAGATCTTGGTGCCAGAGCAGGCTGGATTTAGGGAATGTCACAGCATAGAAGACCAAGTCACCTAACTGTCACAAGCTGTAGAGGATGCCTTCCAAGAGAAGGAAAAGGTCCTGGCGGTATGGGTTGACTTCAAACAAGCTTTTGACAAAGTCTGGAAAGATGGTCTCATTGCAAAACTGAAGAGAAATGGAATCCAAGGAAACATGCTAAAATGGATCCAATCCTTCTTACACAGCAGGAGAACTAGAGTCAGTCTTGATGGCCAGCAGAGTAGAAAAGTGTTACTTCGGCAAGGAGTACCACAGGGAGGAGTTATCTCTCCAACTCTCTTTCTTGTGTATATAAATGATCTGGTGAAAGACCTCCCTACGGGAGTAAAAGCTGCCCTGTATGCAGATGATCTGGCACTTTGGTGTACCGATGAACACACCACAGTGGCAAATATAAGAATGCAGCGAGCAGCAGATCTCTTGATGACATGGGCAGAAAAATGGCATGTTGCCATCAACACAGACAAAACATCCACAACGCTTTTCTCTCTTTCCCCAAGGGACAAAGCTGCTAGTATTCACCTAGGAACATCCTTGCTAAAAGAAGAAAGCTTCCCCACTTATCTTGGAGTAACATTCGATAAAAGGCTTACATGGAGCAAACATATAGAAAATGTAGAAGGGAAGGCCAGGAGACGACTAGGCCTACTTAGAAAACTGGCAGGTACAGGATGGGGAGCGAATGGAAAAACCCTAAAGAAAGTTTATAATGGAGCGATAAGACCCCCACTTGGAGTTTGGTGCAACAGCATGGTCAACAGCTGCTAATTCCCATCTACAATCATTAGACAGAGTGCAAAATCAAGCTCTTAGACTCATCACAGGATCCATGAAAACTGCACCAATCCTGAAGATGCAGAAAATAACTACAATGCAGACACTGTCCTATAGAAGAGACACTAAAACTATGATCCAGATGGAGAAGTTAAATAGTATGCAGTCACACCCAATGAATAAAGGGTTAGATGATCTGGCATTAGAGCGTCTCAAACGTAGCAGCTTTGTCCATCAGGGGAAAAGACTTAGAAGACAGTATCAAGCTGATCTACCTATTAGAACAACACCGCTGAAACCTACCCTATACCCTGTACCTCGGGAGCAAGTCAGTGATACAATACAGATAATGACTTCAGTCAATGGATTCACAACTGGAGATGAGTCCAATGATCTTCAAAAACGAACAGCATGATTCATGAAAACTATCCCGAACAGTCATGGATAAATGTTTACACAGATGGATCAGCAACCAGTGCGGTTAAAAATGGGGGTGCTGGAGTCTTTATTACACACCCAGGCAACCACCGCGACACAAAGTGGATACCCACTGGTAAATTCTGTTCCAACTACACAGCAGAGATTGTAGCACTAGAGCAGGCTGCCGAAATGTTACACAACACCAGTTCTGACTGCCACCAAGTGGTTTTATTCACAGATGCGCTTTCAGTGCTTCAAGCCCTCAAGAGTGGCAAAGTCCCTCACTTGAAATCTGAACTTGGCAAGGTGGCTGCCCAAAAGTTTACTGTACTCCAGTGGGTGCCATCCCACAGTGGTATACCAGGAAACGAAACCGCAGATAAACTTGCCAAAAAAGGGGCAGAATGTGACCAGGAAGAGAATGCAGTAACATACTATGAGAAGAAAAGGGCCATCCAGGCTATTAGAAGTGAACAGAGTCTGGCCAAAGATGACTACCACTTACTTGACCGGCATGGGCAGGTCATTGTCCTACGTCTCAGGACAGGACATAACAAACTTAACCAGCATATGCACAGGCTTCGTCTAAGTAGTTCACCTTTTTGCCCTTGTGGGCTATGTGTGCAGACTACAGAACATGTCCTGCAAGACTGTCCCTTGTTCAGCCCATTAAGAAAAGAATACTGGCCCAGTGAATCACCACTGTACACAAAGTTGTATGGAACTAAAAATGAACTCATAAAAACAGTCAAGTTTATCACAAGAACCTGTCTGTCGGTGTAAATCAGAAAGCGAACACAAGAAGAAGAAGAAGAAAAAATAAGTGTGTATATATATAATATATATACTTAGGCCTATATACATGTATATATGTATGTTTGTGTAGATATATGTATATACATATATATGTGTGTGTATATATATGTATAATAGTATGTACTTACACAAGTTGGAAACCTTGAGGTCCCGTCTTCCCCCATATAAAATTTGTAATAAAGCGGACAACCCCCCCCAATAATTGTTTTCTTTGTGTTGGCAACCCACTCTCACACATCACATCACAAGTATGTTGTACTGTGTTTATAACATTTCACAGATTACATTGTAAATATAGCTGTTTGTGTTATCTAATGTATCATGCTGTGTGTATGTTGTATAAGGGTTAGGTATGTGTTTTGTAGGGGGCCTTTGCTCCACTGGGAGATGAAAGAGAAAAAGAATATACATTAACTATGGTCGGATAGCTGAATGGATAGTACAGTTCTCAATGGATGAATTTTCTGCTGGAGTTTACAGCCAGTGAAGAAGAAGACAGGGATGGACAAGTGACTCAGTCACAAATAATGGACAAAAACAGGCACCAGTCCCAATGGCATGTGTCCTAGTGTTTACAGAATCACATTACTGACTAACAGCTTGGAGTGATGAATGTTCTGTAGAGGTAAAGTAGTAAGTGTTGAATGAAGGGAATAAACAACTGACGGATCATGAGAAAATCCAAAAAAACTCAGCAAGACAATGAATGAAAGACTCAGTGATGTAATAATAATGTTAATGGACCAGTGATTAATTGATTGACCAACTGGGAGGATAGCGTGAGCAGTACTTACAAAACAAGATCTCTTGATTGCGAGGCATTTGATGTATATTAGTTTTCTGCCAAATTGTTTTGTTTCATGTTTTTGTTAACTATATGTTCGTTTTCTTCATTGACAAAGAGTTTAGTGAAAACATTCATGAGTTATCAGCATCACACCTTTTGCAGAGCTTTTGTGTTTACTTGATAATTTTGGCAAACAAGTGGTGTTTAACCTGAAATTCATCCAACTGCAAGAACAAGGGCGCGTGAGCAAGCACACACAAACACACACAGCTCCCTGAGATTTTTACCCAGTCAAGGACCCTCTTCCATGCCTTCAGGCATATTAGGCACATTAGGCATCAAGTGCTAGAATTATATTTTACTGACCAATCAGCACCCAGTGGGTGATGTAGTAATATCACACGAACCGCCTTTACTTCCAAGGACTATACCTGCTACTCATGCAAGGCTGTGCTGACCTGGGAATCATAATTTTTTCTGAAAAGATACATTTGGCTCTGATAGATTCAAACCTATGGCCTATGAATCTGCATGCAAGTGTCTAGCCAAGGGTTATTCAATAAAGTTTACTCACAGGCCAGAATGTAAAAAATAGGGATCTTCACGGGTCAAGTGTATGGATTATTATTACAATACAATGGACAACATCTTCAATGCATTACTTTAATAAATTCTAAAATTGTTACACCTACGCGTAGTTAGGGCCTAACCTACTGTAATATAAATGAAACAGTGTACTACAATCTTTTGTAGTGATTAATTAACACTCACATTTAACTGTAATATTTCCAACTTGCCTTGAAATTATAAATAAACGTTAGCAGTGTCACTTCAATTGTCATTATAATAATAATAATAATAACTCTCCACAGTTAAGTTTATATGGCTTTCTTTGCGCAGAAAAAAACACAATAATTATAACCTTGCAAAATGTAATTATTGGGAAAAGTGAAATTTGGCCCACAAGCCACCAGTTGAATAGCCCTGGTGTAGCCGCTAGACCCGTGGCTCTCAACTTTCCCAATGCCGTGACCCTTTAATTCAGTTCCTCATGTTGTGACTGCCCCACAAATATACAACTGTTTTGTTACTACTTCATAACTTCAATGAATATGTTTTTCTATGGTCTTAGCGACCCCTGTGAAAGGGTCATTGGACAAAAAAAAAAGGATAGTGGCCCACAGGCTGAGAACCACTGGTGTCACCATGGTGTCTCCCGAATATAATAACATATGTTAAATAATAGGAAATTATTACCAAACAGATAAATATCTATACATGACTTGGGGGTGGGGGGTGGGAGGGCACTCAAAGAGTCTCAGCCCCCAGGTTCTGACACCCCTACCAAAGAGTTATGTTGGCAGAAGTTCAGCTACTGGTAATGTCTCACCCTCTGGGACAGGTCTATGGATTAAAGTCATACATGAGAAACAACCCTGCTGCTACCTTGCAAGCAAACTGAGGATGGTCAAAAGAAAACAAATCCTACAATTTGTTGAAACTTTATCCTGATGTCAGAAATTCTTCATGATGATGTCATAATAGTTTTATGATGATGTCATGATGGCTCTATGATGATATCCTGGTAGTTTAATGATGATGTCATGATGGCTTTATGATGTCCTGATAGCTTTATGATGTCCTGATAGCTTTATGATGTCCTGACGGCTTTATGATGTCCTGATAGCTTTATGATGTCCTGATAGCTTTATGATGTCCTGATGGCTTTATGATGTCCTGATGGCTTTATGATGTCCTGATAGCTTTATGATGTCCTGATAACTTTATGATGTCCTGATGGCTTTATGATGTCCTGATGGCTTTATGATGTCCTGATAGCTTTATGGTGTCCTGATGGCTTTATGATGACTGATCCTACTGATATGATATCCTCAGTTTCACCAAGTCTGGCCTGTATGCCAGTCTGCTGTTCATCCTGCACCAAAACAAGATCATTCCAGTGCCCATCGAACTGCTGTATCTGGGGATCATCGTGGCATTTGTCACCCTGAGATTGCTGATTACTGTAGGAAACATTGAAGACCCGCTACTACCACTTGAATCCCCACTCACCTCCTGGCTGTTTCGACCTGCCCCAGAAGAGACCCGGGTCGAAGTGAACCAAGCACACAAACAAAAATAGCAACAATATAGAAGGGAAACAAATCATTCACAGGTCAAAAATGACACCAATAGAAATATGGCCAAACATCCCACAGAAATTATTTGTGATACTTATTAATGCAACAGTAAAAGATCAATGGGAGACAATGTTTTTGGTGTTTTTTTGTTGTTGTTTTAAATCTGCTGTATTTGTCACTAGTATATTTTTAGACAACATAATTTTCTTTGTGTGTTCATATAGCATGTATTGTGTCTGCATAGCATACAGTTATGTGTGTATAATTTATACAAGGCAGTTTCAGCAGAAGAAGAGTAACAAGTAGAAGAAAGAAAAGGAACAAATCAGCATCTACTTTTAAAACAGTCCAATAATTTATTTTGAAAAAGTATTTAACATTTTAACATTAAAAGAAGTTAAAAACTTTCAAACTAAAAAAAAATGCAGTTGAAACAATTCACAGTTGATAATGCTTGAATGAGCTATGATTTTCTTACAAACAAAGAGCTACTTGAATAAAACTGTTACCAGAAAAACACATCTAGGCACCAGTGGTTTGATGTGTTAGACATACTTACATACTTGTCATTAAATCAGAAGTTAAAAAACACAATAACATATTGATGTTCATACCCTTTCAATTAAAAGGGTACCAGATAGAATCCTGGGAAGTAAAAGTGGCCGCTGTGATGCTGACCCCATCATCCACTGAGTGCCAATTCTATCAAATATAGGGTCTAGCCCTAGATGCCCAATACGCCTGAAGGTGTGGACAAAGGTCCTGTACTTGACTTTTGTTGTCAAAGGTAGGCCATAATTTGTCTCACATGTGGACAATCCTGCAGCCATTTTCAACTGTTAATTTACCAGCTGCAATTACATTCATCAAAGCCTCCTATCTTTAGCATATTAACAAGCAGTACTTCAGCCTATTATGCACCCTTGTGGAGTCTGAATATTACCACATGTTCCTCTAAGCTGATAGTATGCATCATCTGTCTGGTGGCCGGGATATTCAGATTCCTTGCCAGTTCTATTTGTTTCTTAAATAAGGCAATAGAATGATATATTGTTCCTGTCTTCATTATTGATTTTTGTTTTGTTTTTTATTTTGTTTGCACTGTCGTCTTTTCACAGAGGAAATGGAAATCCTTTTCCTAACCATCTCTGAGTAGATTTAAACAGTTTTTTTTTTTTTGAAAAAAATTATCCAATATTGTTCTTGCAATCAAAATCAATAGTAAAGAGCATAAATAAAGAGTAATAATTCCTTTCTAACCAATGAAAGTAAACTTAGATTTATCAATAACACCATTAATTTAATACCCATTTTTACAGATTCTGACTGCATGGTTTTAAAGTATTGATTGCTGTGACAAGTACCCTCACATGTGGGAGCTGAGTGGTCTCAAAGGCATGGCGTCTGCCTAGAGTGCTGGAGGTTCCACATTCAGGCTAGGATCAGGTGGATGCCATACCTCAAGATCACTCCGCCCCCAACTGAATAGATTATATCATACAGCTCTTATAATGTTGTAGAGAATTTTAAAAGTGAATCTGTTATTGGAACAATCAGCAACTCTAAGCTATGGCGTCTGCTAACAGACAGACAGACAGACAGACAGACAGACAGACAGACAGACAGAGGAGAAAGAGCACATTTTCAGAGTGCCCTGAATGCAATTATGCTGATTCTAAATTCCGACTATTTGGTTAATTAAAATTAGACGACAAACACATGCATTTTTATCTTTAAAAGAAAATGTCACATAAAGTAGCCACTGTGATCTTAAGACAAGGTGAAAGAAAGGAATACATTTCACAGAAAATCACTGTATATTAAAAGAACAACAAAAAAAACATTGTTTATTTAAAAATCATCTTCATCGCACATCAGACATGACCCTAAGTGCTTTGACCTCCTCTTGAGTATCTTTCCAAGTGCTTTAGGCTTAATAACTCCCATTCTGTGTTGGTTGATGTAACGACAGGTGGCTTCCACATGGTTTTCATGTCTCACTGCTCCAACTGGTACACCCAGGGCATGCAGTCTGTTCAGTGAAAAGTCACTTTCCAGGAAACTGAAAGCCTCACAGCGTTTAGTCTCTCATATAGCAGTGATGAAGTCTCTCCTGCCCATAGACGGTACATTCCTAAAAGTCGCCCTGCCAGCAAGGATGTCTGCACTCTCACTGTCTTTGATACCAGCACACCCTGGGACAAAAATTAAGGGGATTTTACAAAATGCTGTCTGCTAACAGATTGAGCCACTATTTCTGTAGATGCCACACTTGATCTTAAAAGTTATGAACCACAGAAATGTAACAAATAATTGTGTAAAGAAACAGAGAATGGTGTAACAAACGCAACTGAAAATTACTGAGCCACCAACTGGCAAACCATAGAGAACAATTTAATAATGCTATAGTTTCTCTAAACCGACCAATATTTAAAAAATACTTCAAGAGTAACAATTAATCCTTTTCATGGCTCATTTAGAACAATCTACATTGTTGTTTTAATCTTCTCTAACCAGCTGCCTGGCTATCACTTGGTGACCACCCATGAAGATGTTACAGAAAAGGTTTTCAAGTGGTACAAATGGGTCATGTGCCCCCAGTAGCACTGAGGAGATCCTAAAGTAGATGAAGAAGATCACTATGCCCAAGTAGATTACTGGATGAGATGCATTAATCAGTTGAAGTCTCTCACACAGGAACATGACTGAGGCAAACAAGCTGGCTTTTGTGACACTGTGGATTCAGAAATTAACAAATTATAAAACAGAAAAGTAGGAGAAATTAAGAAAAATAACAAATTATGAATAACTTAAAAAATTTACAGATTAAGAAAATGTAACAATAAATTATAAGTGACTGAAAAAATCAAAAGATTATAATCTTCTTAAGAATTCCATGCCCTTGAGGTTTAGTCCTGCAGGTATCAGTTGTCTCCATTGATCTCTGTGACTGGCCTTCTCCTTCCAGTTGGTGACTCCAAGTGTCTGTAGGTCTGCCTAAATATTATCTCTTGGTCTGCTTTGTGGTAGTATCCCACTCAATTCTCTTGTGAACAGAGTTAACAAATTATAATATCTCAAAACATTCAACAATTAAATTTAGTCACAATTTATTATTTATTTAAATCACGACCAATTACTTACACCATGAGTGCTAACAGACTGAAATTGTTGGGGCATACAGAAAGAATGGCAGATAACACAGACAGCCAATTAGAGAGATATATGGAGACAAATTATATCTGTAGCAATTAACGTCAAGTGCTCAAGACACTGAAGAAGAAGAAGTCACTTGACACAAATTTAGTAGAGTAATCATTCATTTAAAATGTTTAGGCAGTGAGAAGTTACAGTTTTTAACCAAAGTCTTGGAGGTCAAATAAATAAATGTTAGAATCGAAGCCAGAAATGTAAGAACTGTTACAAACTGAGCTCAGCTAACCACTGCAAAAAATATGGATAGCTGCCTTATTTTTCTTTTAAAATAAGTTTCATTGCCAGAGTTACAGCCAGAGCTTAGATTTCAGAGCCGTGAGGCTCAGGTATGGCCAGAGTTACAGCCAGAGCTTAGATTTCAGAGCCGTGAGGCTCAGGTATGGCCAGAGTTACAGCCAGAGCTTAGATTTCAGAGCCGTGAGGCTCAGGTATGGCCAGAGTTACAGCCAGAGCTTAGATTTCAGAGCTGTGAGGCTCAGGTATGGCCAGAGTTACAGCCAGAGCTTAGATTTCAGAGCTGTGAGGCTCAGGTATGGACAGAGTTACAGCCAGAGCTTAGATTTCAGAGCTGTGAGGCTCAGGTATGGCCAGAGTTGTTAGAAACAGAGACAGTTGCACTACTGGCATAGGACAAAGATGAACATAATCACAAGAACCACAGCTAGTGGCCAGAACTTTAAGAACCACAGCTAGTGGCCAGAACTTTAAGAACCACAGCTAGTGGCCAGAACTTTAAGAACCACAGCTAGTGGCCAGAACTTTAAGAACCACAGCTAGTGGCCAGAACTTTAAGAACCACAGCTAGTGGCCAGAACTGCAAGCATTAGAGATTCCAGAACTGCAAGAACTACAGATAGCTGCCAGAAATGCAAGAAGCACAGATAGTGGCCAGAACTTCAAGAATCCCAGCTAATGGCCAGAACTTCAAGAAACACAGACAGCTGCCAGAACTGCAAGCATCTGAGATTCCAGAACTGCAAGAACCACAGATAGTGGCCAGAACTGCAAGAACCACAGATAGTGGCCAGAACTGCAAGAACCACAGATAGTGGCCAGAACTGCAAGAACCACAGATAGTGACCAGAACTGCAAGAACCACAGATAGTGGCCAGAACTGCAAGAACCACAGATAGTGACCAGAACTGCAAGTACCACAGATAGTGGCCAGAACTGCAAGAACCACAGATAGTGACCAGAACTGCAAGAACCACAGATAGTGACCAGAACTGCAAGAACCACAGATAGTGGCCAGATAGCTGCCAGAAATGCAAGCATCAGAGATTCGAGAACTGCATGAACCACAGATAGTCGCCAGAACTTCAAGAACCACAGATAGTGACCTGAACTGCAAGAACCCCAGATAGCTGCAAGAACTGCACGAACCACAGACAGTGGCCAGAATTGCAAGAACCACAGATAGTTACCAGAACTGAAAGCATTAGAGATTCCAGAACTGCAAGAACCACAGTTAGTGGCCAGAAGTGCAGGAAGCTTAGTCACTAGAATTGTTATTATTAAACAAATGCCACATTTGGTAAGCATTGGAAATTGGTCCCAGGAAACACCACAGAAAATGACTAAATAGAAATCTACAATGTTGCAAGCTTACAGACTATCATCTGATAAATTTGACTGCAAGTTTCTTCTGCAACTTTCTGGAAAACATTTTCCTGACTCATCATTTATACTCACCTAGAAAAGAATGACCATAAACCAGGAAAGAGAAAGAGGAAGAGGGTGTTGACCACAACCATGCAAACAGATAAAAATGATCACAGATTATACAACTGAAAAAAAAATATAAAATTGGACAAAGACTGCCACAAGTATAAACCCTAAAGGAAAAACACAAGTGACACATCTCTAAACTCTTACAAAGTGGGTTGCAGGATCTCACTAGTATCTGGTATCCAAATGCCTCTCACAAGCCTGCAAATGTTTCTCATGAAACAACCACCACATCCTGTTTTATAGACAGTAGAAAATACAGGAAGCACATTTTATCAAAAAAATCAGACAATAATTAATGACACGACAATGTTCTACAAGACACCACATGTGACTCCCTATCCTAAAAGCATGCACAAAACACACTGTGCAACAGACGTGACAGCAGTTTCACAGACTGAATAAGTAGTTTTATGCCATGGTAAAGCAGACTACTACTAGGGGTTGGAATTACTTACTTCTTGAGGTTGGAATTGCTTACTTCTAGAGGTTGGAACTGCTTACTTCTAGAGGTTGGAATTGCTTACTTCTAAGTGTTGGATCAACTTACATTTAGGGGTTGGATCAGCTTACATCTAGGGGTTGGATCAGCTTACATCTAAGGGTTGAATCAGCTTACAATTAAGGGTTGGATCAGTTTACATTTAGAGGCTTGGATCCCCTTACATCTAGGTGTTGGATCAGCTAACATCTAAGGGTTGGGTCAGCTTACATCTAGGTGTTGAATCAGCTTACATCTAAGGGCTGGATCAGCTTACCTCTACGGATTGTATCAGCTTACATCTAGAAGTTGAAGTTTTCTTCTAGGGATTGTATCAGCTTACATCTAGGGATAGGATCAGCTTACATCTAGGAGTTAAATTAGCTTGCATCTAGGGATTAAATCAGCTTACATCTAGGGGTTGGATCAGCTTACATATAAAGGCTGAATCAGCTTACATCTAGGAGTTGAAGAAGTTTTGTTCTAAGGATTGGATCAGCTTACATTTAGGGGTTGGATCAGCTTACATCTAGGAGTTAAAGAAGTTTTCTTCTAAGGATTGGATCAGCTTACATTTAGGTGTTGGATCAGCTTACATCAAGGGGCAGGATCAGCTTACATCTAGGAGTTAAAGAAGTTTTATTCTAAGGATTGGATCAGCTTTCATTTAGGGGCTGGATCAGCTTACATCAAGGGGTTGGATCAGCTTACATCAAGAGGCTGGATCAGCTTACATCTAGGAGTTGAAGAAGTTGTCTTCTAGGGATTGGATCAGCTTGCATCTAGGGGTTGGATCAGCTTACATCTAGGGGTTGGATCAGCTTACATCTGGAGGCTGGATCAGCTTTCATCTAGGGGTTGGATCAACTTTCATCTAGGGGTTTAGCCACTCGATGTGTAGTGGTTTTTTTTTCCTTGCCTTCTGCCACTCTTTGGTGGCTATATATTTAATGTACCATGCCTTTTAGCGCAGGTGACCTATTAAATCAGTGCTTACGTAATGAAAGGCCTTCTCCATACTCCGGCCCCTCTCGATTGGATACCTCAGTTATTGATGTTATTGAACAGAGTGGCAGTATCATTACTATGCATGGGAGATGGTCATTGCCATAGTGTCCTAGCACCCCTCCCATCACCACCAGGCTAAAACTTGGCGAGACTAGGGAAAGGTCTATTGCACTCTCTATTTTCCTTTGTCAGGTATTGCTGTTGTTCTCTCATAATTCATACAGGCCAAATCTACCTCTGTCAGCACTTTCTCTAGAGTTTTGCCTTGTTTACTGGTCGCACCATTACACCAAAAACCTCTCCAAAGCATTGAAGACACCGCACAGTAGTATTTCACCCATCACATGCTCCTAGACTGCCTTCACTATCTGCATCCCCTTTGTCACTGTATGCATATGTAATGACAATAGTGAGTTGTCTGGTTGCTTTGGATGTGCACAGTGCGCATCTGTAGGTTGTCAGCGTTCCAAGCGCGTGTGTCAACCTTTGTGGCATGAAAGTCCTTTTCTGACCAGAATTACTTGGCCTAGATTTGTTCTATTGTAGAAGGTTTTAAACCCTGGATATTGTAGGGGGTCAGTGTCCCATAACCGGGTCTCCTGTAGAACCACTACATCGGCACATCATATTAACTTATCTAATACAGGACTTCTTTTGTAAATGTTTCTACAGTTCCAGTACATCACCTGTAGGTATTTTTGGGATAGCCTTTCGATTTTCCATTGCCTTCTTCTTACATCACCATGTCTTTTCTTTCTCATCTTCCCATTCTTCCTCATCTTTTTTTCTTTTTTACCGGATCTTAGCCTAGTAGCACATCTCCTGTTGCTCAAGGGAGGATCCAACTGATTGTAAAAACCATGCTTTCCATTACTGTTCTTTCTAGTCTGCTGGATCGATTGAATGATCAGTCTGGAATTCTGGGATGCCACCGAAAGGCTTACCATACCATCCTGAAATTAGAAACATCTCAATCTGAATGGCAGACCAACAAAGTAGAGACCGCGTTAGACCACCAAAGAAGTTATAATTAGGGCACCCATAATGGCCACAGCAGCCAAGTGTCAGTTGCTGTCCCATTAAAAGTTGCTGTCCCATTCAAGTAAGGATGAACGGTTGCAGCATGCAACTGAGCGGAAGTATTTAAGTTTTGTGACATTGTTTGGTTTATGAGCCCTTTTTTTGTTTTAAAGATAACATCTTGTAGAATGACAGTGTCTGTCTTCTCATTTTTATCCAAGAATGTTTCTGTAACATTCCAGTGACCACAGGAAGTAAAAAACCCTTTTCACTCTATTGCTAAGCTCATGTTTTTACAGACCAATCAGCAGTCAAGAGGTGATGCAGTCAATATCACACCTGTCACCAATACTTCATAGAACATTTCATCACACCTATTTTAGAGAGTCAACCTTGGAGCCAAGGTCAAGTACACAAATCGTTCTTGTTGCAGATTGAAAATCAACAAGTTAGTTTTTTTTAAAGCCTCAGAAAATGATCTAATATGCTAATAAAGATGTAAAAACAATTCAATAAAAATAAAAGACCTTTAATGGTTCCGACCAGCACAATAACGAAATAAGCACGAGGGTAGAGTTTCTTGGTCACCAGCACCCCATGATACACCATGTGGGCTCGACGAATTTCCACCATTATGCAGATGATTAAATACATAGGCAGCAACTTGCAGAGCTTGTACACAATATCGAATGGAGAAAAGTTCACCAGGTACCTGAAAGTACATGGTTAAAACAGCCAGCTGCAATAAAATCATACTGCGCTGTTCCCTTCCGAGTTGTCTACTGAATAAAACAATTTAAAAATAATGATGAAGGTTTTTGTGTGGCAACTCTGTACTCCAGTTTTCCCCACATTATTTTCCCAAATAATTGGTTTTGAAAAAAAATTAAAAATTAAAAAATGAAAAGAACACAAATTTAAAACATCATTACTGTTGACTTTGGGGACAGTGAATCCACATCACTCGCCAGAATGACAGACTTAGGAATTAAGATTGGCATAGCAAAAAACAAGACACACACCAGACACGCCAGAAGACTTGTTAATCAACATAGAACTATACTATTAGCCATCAGACGTTGGGGTTCATACTGAGGGGAGGATCTGAGCACCTATGGACATGTCCAGAGTGCAATGATGATAACCCAACTAACTAGCTAACTAACTAATCATTACTGTTGAAGAAAAGACATTAAAATAAGCTAAGGAGTTCAAGTCCTTAGGCAGTGTACTCACTAAGGATACAGATTAGGCAGAGAAACAGAAAACAGTATACAGAAGGCCAACAATATAAATTACAAAAAAAAAAGTGCTACCTTTGGGGCATTAAAATATAAACAAGCACACACACAAAGGGCAGCTAATACAGTGCTATTCGTACCAGCTTTGTGATATCAATGCGAGACATGGACAGTCCTAGAAAAAACATAAATGCAAAATTATAACAAGTGAGATGAGATTATAAGAAATGCGGCAAGGAAGAACTAAGAACAATAGTAAAGACAGTACCCGTAAATGATTTAATAAAATATCAAAGAAGCAAATGGTTTGGTCATGAGGTCAGAATGGAACAAATTCATTTAGCAGCTAAATCGTACTATATGGAAACAGCAGGCCACAAGGCAAGAGGCAATATGACATTAGCACAAGATCCACAACTAGTAAAAGACAGGAAAGGACATCCAGCTCTTCTCCATGACACTTTACAGCAAAAGTAGTAGACCAAAAGAATGAAAGAAGAATTTGGTCAAAGAATGTGAACACTCCTCTTCTGAGGTGGGTTCATTTAATTCTAGATATCTTCACTGCATATTATATCTGTCTATAGGGTTCTCATCAATCTTCAGCAGAACTACATCTCTGAAACAGAATTTTCCACGAGTGCGCTAGAAATAAATACTTAATTATCACAATAGGCAACTGCAAACACGGATGTCCATAAATCTAGGAAGTTAAATGAGACAGGACAGCATAATCTTGTTACAGACATTAAATCCCCTTGCTAAAAGAAAATGCAGATGTCCATTCTAATGTCCTGGATAAATTCCTAGAATGTCATGAATAATGAAGAAGAAAACGATGAAATTCTACACAATAAAACATCAATGATGACTGGCTCAAAGCTGTATCATATCTGAAAATATGACAAATTTGAGCATGTTGAGCACTGCAGTGGGTTAGAAATATAATAATGGAAAGTATATTTTTCACACAGCAGTGGCTCACTTTGCTGTTAAGAAGTCTGGGCTCTCAACAAGCAAACTCTAGTTCAAATCCTCAGTAAGGCAATGGATTTGTTCTGTCAGGGAAAGAATTAAAATCTTAACCTTCACAGCAGGGTGGCAGCATGTTGACAGCAAGGTGGCAGCAGGTTGACAGGAGGGTGGCAGCAAGTTGACAGCAGGGTGGCAGCAGGTTGACAGCAAGGTGGCAGCAGGTTGACAGGAGGGTGGCAGCAAGTTGACAGCAGGGTGGCAGCAGGTTGACAGCAAGGTGGCAGCAGGTTGACAAGAGGGTGGCAGCAAGTTGACAGCAGGGTGGCAGCAGGTTGACAGCAAGGTGGCAGCAGGTTGACAGGAGGGTGGCAGCAAGTTGACAGCAGGGTGGCAGCAGGTTGACCGCAGGGTGACAGCAGGGTACAGCAGGCTGACAGCAGGCTGACAGCAGGGTGACCGCAGGTTGACAGCAGGGTACAGCAGGGTGACAGCAGGGTAACCGCAGGTTGACAGCAGGGTACAGCAGGCTGACAGCAGGGTGACCGCAGGTTGACAGCAGGGTACAGCAGGCTGACAGCAGGGTGACAGCAGGGTGACCGCAGGTTGACAGCAGGCTGACAGCAGGGTGACAGCAGGGTGGCAGCAGGGTGACTGTATTAGCATGCAGCCCTAAATTCTCAGGCTGAAGACACCTGTCTCACCCCCCCCCCCCACATTCACACACATTCACACACACACACAAAGTGGTAAATATAGATAGTAACAACAGATTATAGATCTTACAAAACAATATGGTGAACACAGCAATATGGTGAACACAACAAAATGGTTAACAAAGCTATATGGTAAACAAAAGCAATATGGTGAACACAGCAATATGGTGAAAAAAGCAATATGGTGAACAAAAGAACTATGGTGAACATAGAACATTAGAGATGCCTGGCCATTACAAGACACATGGGAGGACAAAAAACAAGGAATCAGCAAGGAATCCAGTCTTTCCAGTGGTAGGAGCAACCTTCTGCAAGCTTCTTCTACATGAAGATGATGGATAAACCTGCTAGTGACAGACAGGGAGATTCCCAGCTTCATGCTTACCAAACAGCAGTAGCTATGGCAATGTTTCTGTGATCCTTGAATGGTGTGATGACTGGTTCACCCAGTAGGAAATTGACCATAAGACTACTGGCGAAGCACAACAGCATTGTCGAAACCCAGCTGGATAAAGGGTGTCTACAGGAAAACAGTGTAGCTAGCTGATCTGATCCTGCTGATAAAAAAAAAACACAATGAGAAAAACATATTTCCTTTAAAATAAGATAATTAAAACAACAACAAAAACAGTTCAAAGTTAAGAACCAATATCACAGTACCTGAGGCATCCCCATGTAATGCTTCCGATACATCTTCTGCAGCCAGTGCAGATTTCCACTGTTAATCTTCTTCTTCTTCAGCATTTCGAGCCCATAAGGTTCATTGCTGCAGATATCATCTGCCTCCCTTCATCTTTGTAACTAGCATTCTCTTTCCAGTAGGCAACTCCAAAAGTGTGTAGGTCTGCCAGCATATTATTTTTTCTTTTTTACTGTTTTTTTTTTTAAATTTTAATGTTGCACCAGCACTAAATCTCACACAAATCTGAAATTTTCAAAACCACCAAAAGTGGCTGTCGCTTATAAGCCACTGTTAACTCATTCTGTACCACATAACTCTATGTGCATTTATTGATAATTCTTTCAAGACATTACTGTCTGAATAACATTGGACAAAATATTTACTAGTTTGAAATAACAACTACTTAGTCCAGGTAGCAACTGCTTTGGTAAAGGTAGCAACTGCTTTACATAAGGTAGCAACTGCTTTAGTTAATTTAGCAACTGCTTTAGTTAAGGTAGCAACTTCTTTAGTTAATTTAGCAACTGCTTTAGATAATTTAGCAATTGCTTTAGTTAATTTAGCAACTGCTTTAATCAATTTAGCAACTGCTTCAGTTAAAGTAGTAACTGCTTTAGTTAATGCAGCAACTACTTTAGTCAATTTAGCAACTGCTTTAGTTAATGCAGCAACTACTTTAGTAATGGTAGCAATTACTTTAATGCAACTGTGGAGTGTAGTGGATTAGTAGGAGGCAAAGTACTGACATTCTGTGAGATCTGGGAATCAAGCCAGACGAGCTTTAAGAGGCTGAAATACTCTGCCTCTTGCAGCTACTGGACACTGCAGTAGTCTTTATTATAGGAAGACATGGTTTGTGATATAGGAGGTTGGTCGGCCGTGTCATGGTGGATAAACACCAGACAATAAATGTATCTTGAGCAGGAACATGCAGATCTGATGAGAGCAATGTTCTACAAACCTGCTATATGATCATTTGTTTAAAGAAAATATTTAGAGAAATTAGCCAGAATTGTTATGGCATTGCACAGGACCACACACTGAGATAACCTAGCTAACAATAGAAGTAGAATGTCCTTAAGCTGGAACCAGGGCCCTATTTAGGCTAGGTGCAGCTGCACAGAGTGACAACATTCTAGCGGCGGTAACACTCTCAGAGTAGCAAAATATAACAGGTTGTTTTAAAAGTGTTAATATCTTTTTCTTTTATCATTATGAAAGTTTCGTGCTGCACTGTGCACCCATGCTCCATCAGGGTCCTAACCTGCAAATTTGTTCTATCTGTTGAGTATTCAGCTAAGTTTAAATACTTCAGTAAAGTTTAAACTGAAATCAATAATTCCACAACTTATTGTTGTGCTGCTGAAGTTTAGCTATGGAAAAGGGGACGTCAAATAAATGACTGCAAAGGGGCCTCAAACATTCTAAATATGACTCTGAATGGAACCTACACAGTTAAAGAAAGAAAAGGGGCATTAAAAAAAAGATGAGAAAAACAATTATATGAAAATTATGGGGTGGGGGGGGGGGGGGGTGAATTAAAGGCAGAAGCAGGAAAAGAAGGAAGTAGATGAGAAGGATGAGAAGAGAAGAAACTTCACAGAAAGGAGGTTGGGGCAGGGGGTGGGGAGGGGGGGGGAAGGGGGGAGCTGCCAAGATGAAGAAAGAAAATGAAGTTAGATATGGGTTAAATCATATAACAGTTAAAATTCAGACGAATTCAAAGAGTAAGACTAAGTTGTATGTTATATAAGTTATTTCATATCTGAGTCAGCACTCCGTGCAACGGTGACCCTAGGGGATGCAATTTGCTGTAAGTTAACTCTTTGCAGACTACTGACCACTTAAATGATTTTTTAATCCAACCCTTTCAGACTGGAGCAACTATAGTGGCACTCCATAGAAACGCTCTAATATTGTTTCATTTGCTATGAAAAATTGAATATGTATGAACTGTTTTGAGAAACTAGGATTAGCGACAGGAAGTCCTTTCGTTTTTGATACTGGGCATGGCGTTTGCGCCACTTTCTGATTAAAAAAAATTTTTTTTTAGATGCGATACAATTTTTACGTGACTTTTCTATATCAAATGATAAGGGACAAGGTCTAGAACTGTTCATACTGATCTGTCTTTGTTGAATCTCAGCTAGATAGTGACAATAGTCTATTGTGATTGATAATGCATGTGCCAAATCTGTGTCGATAAATAGGTTAGGATGAAGACTAAACAAAATATTTCAACTAGATCATCTATTTCGATCAGCTGTTTTCTCGATTTTGGTTGTGAAATCTAACACGTCATACAAATATGATCACAGCATCTAAATTACTTTAATTAACTGTTTCAAATAAACACTAGCTGATACACAATGGACAGAGAAGGCATGTGAATCCTTAGAAACAGAAAGCAGTGTTGCTGAACAAGTAAAAAGTAAGGTAAGCACAAATTCTGTGCATATATAATCTTCATATGTGTCTAACATCCTTGAATGTTGTGTGATTGAAATATTTTGTTTTAATACTGACAAAAATTTTAGATTTATTCTGCACTCATTTCTCTTTAATTTGATATATTACATGTCGTGTACAGTCAATATTATTTCTTCAGGAAGGTTTTAGCTTTGTCATGTTGAAGTTTAAAAAAAAATTTGGCTTGAAATTAATGCTGAAACCCCAAACAAAATGTGGTCCTGAAAAAGTTAACATTACTCTAAGTGTCGACCCCAGGGGACTTAACTCCGTCCCAGGGAAAGCATCACACGCTCATTTGTTACAACCACCCGGCCCAATCGACGTGTGACAAGTGAAGGTTTTAATTTCACCGTTGACAGGTCATAAAACGCAGACCGCTCAATTTCAACTACCTTTTGAGTTCTTTGTGTCTGATATCAGGCATGCTTATTTTAACACATGGTGTTAAAGCCGAAAATATAGTATATTTGCGAGTTTTACCGAGTTAGCAAGCGTTTTTTCCGGAAAAAAAAAATGGTTGCCAAGCAGTATTATATGTGCATGCCAACATGATTTAGGGCTTAAGAAGCCTCAAATTTAAATAAAGTAGGTGTTTATTCAATTTATCCGAAGATAGATAACGTTGCGAATTATAAGTGTTTCAGTCATTTAAGGAGTCAAACTTTGTGTGACACAACAGTTGTCTATGTAATTGTCCAAGTTTGACTACCCAGGTTCGATTTGGTTTTTGTGTCAAGGGTGGCGGGTGATTGTTGACAGACGAGGAGAAAGATGGTCGTGTCGATAGTGGCGATGATGAGGATGATGTCTTGCTATCTGCATGCTTCTCATGTGCACTATAATGCTCGAACAACAAAGTATCTGTAAACAAGTGCCCAAGTTCTTTGCATCTCCTTTTTCTATAATTTAAGATTACATCAATGTCACAAAATAGAGAAAAATCACATTGTTTTCTATTTATGCACTTATAAATTCGCGTTGTGTTCTTCAATTAAACTATTTCTAGTGTCTCAAACTGCCACCGGGCTACCAGTGCAGGTTGGGCTAAAAGGTTCATTAAGTAATACTGTCTATCTACTTATCTATGCTCTCTTCCCTGCTTAATCAGCCGGTGCTTGTCGCTTGTTCTCCTCACTCTGTCTCTAGGCTGTCCCTCATCTGTTCTTTGCTGTCTTCTGCTGTCCTCTTTCTTCTGCCTCTGTCTGCCTATGTCTCAGTGTGGGTCTCCGTATCTTCTCTATTTGTGTCTATCCTCTGTCTGTCTCTACCCTCTGCCATGTCGGCGTGAGTCTGTGTCTATGTCTTCTGTCCCTCCTCTGGCCTATCCGGCTCCCGTCTGTATGCGAGGCTCCCTCTGTGTATCTATGTGAGTGCCTCCTGTCTGTCTATCTGAGCTAAGCGCTGCCGAAGATCCCGGGCAATTGCTTATAAAGGGGCCACTAGGGGACTCCTACCCCTCCTTGTTTTGCAACTACTGCCATCACCTGAGCTGGCCGGGACAAGTATTTAATTAATGAGTTTGGAACTTGGACGGGGAGAGTCACATGTCAGATCATGCGATGCATAGTACGTGGGAAAAGTTCTAACAATAAGGGTGAAAGCCACAAGGGTCATACCGTGCAAACAATGCAATACTAATAAAAAGGGGGTCGGGGTGCGAAAAGGGGTTGGGGTGCGGACTCTGCTACATTCGATGAGGGATATGTCTAATGTGTACCTCACGCGAGGGTTACAACAATAGCAAAGTCAGCTGGCACAAATAGAATAAATATTAGTGAAAAGAGGATTTTCTTCAGTGTCAGTTAATTCTAATGCAATTACCCTTATTATTTAGGAACATAGCTACAAAATTACAGGCAAATTGAGTGCTATATAAACTTTGTTTTGTGTGAAGATACTTATTGTTTTGGGAGTCAGTTTTCTTTACCAAATAATGGTGCTGTTATGATGCTTTAAATATTCTTTGGAACAAAATCAGACGTATAAATTTAGTTTATATTTTACTTATACAATCCATTTCTGAATCATTTTGGATATATTTTAACCAGTTTTCCTTGAGTGCCATGGTGGTAAGTGGAATTTTTTATATTTTAATTTACTAATTTTTGTAAACATACCGTCTGTTTATGTATTAAAACTTAATTATTAACGCAATTATTTGTTATAGCTGCATTACATAATTATTCTTCAACAATCTCTGGTCAGTTTGGTGTATAATATGTGTATGTTACGCAGCTTTTTAATTAGTATGGTGTTTTAATGTGTTACACTTGTGAAATTTAAAAAATGCATTACCACCCTTAGGCGTCTGATGCTAAACCCACTGGAACTCAAAGAGTTCATTTATTCTTTGTGTAGCCTACACTGTAGGTTCATATAATAAAAATTTTCTTTCATAGTTAATATTGTTTGTGATCAGGTTTAGGGTTAAAGTTAGGGCTAAACCTAACTCAAATGTGAAGTAATATTAAATAATACTTCACATCCTCATGTGAACGTACACATCGTTGACTGTGTCCCTTATGGTCACCGTAAACGGCTCTCCTCCGAACTACGTCCTAATATTATGGCGGCCATAAAATATCCTTACGGGGCTCAGGCATATGTAAAATGGGGACTTTCTGCCAAGGAACAAATCGCGGCAAAACTAGGATTACTTGACAATTTCAAAAGACGCAACATTGCAGACGATAGTAGCAGACGATAAAAGCGACCGTTGACAATTTCTAGCGTTTCTGCAGATGACAGTAGCAGACGATAATACTGACTATTGACAATTTTGAGACATTACAGACAATGAAAGCGATATGGCGGGTAGACCACGCGCTCCCACGCAGATTAGCAATACTGTTGGTCTGATTGAGGATTTAGCAGCGGTAGATGTCAGACCTGCCGACCTGTATCCTCACACTTTTCGATTTGTGCAAAACGCAATAAAACTCACCGCCGAGCGTATCCCTTGCGCTGCTGCGCGTGGGGCGGATGGGGGGGGGGGGGGGGGGGCTAAACTAGGTGCCTGGGACTCACGAGCAAATTAATTGGAGGAAGTTGCAGGAGATGCGGTAGCTGCTGCTCGTGAGTCCCAGCCATCTAGTTTAGTCCCCATCCACGCCGCGTGTCAAAGAAACAGGTCCGCAAGTAACATATCGCTGAGACCCTGTTAGAGCATTTGTTTCCTTATACGGAGCCGGCATATTTTTAATAGAACTGAGCCCCATAAGGATATTTTATGGCCGCCATAATATTAGGACGAAGTTCGGAGGTGAGCCCCGTAAGCAAACTATACATCGCATCCCCTAGTGTCCGTGATTAGTTAAGTCTATGAGTGTAACAACTATTGCATTGCAAACACACGCTCTGATTAATTACAGTGATTACCTGGTGGTGATGTCTGTTGATGAATCAGGGTTTTGGCTTTGCTACTCTTGTCGTTAATATCGTTATTAGTATTATTATTACCATTAACAGTAATAGTACTAGTAGTACTACTAGCAGTACTATCGCTATCCTCTCGTACTGCTATGCTTATCAAAATATAATGTGCTAAATCGAAGTAAGGATACATTCTTAACTTTGTTACTACATTAGCAACATCTATATACATCTGTTGGCTCATTTTTGTCGTTGTGTAGAATATAAGTAACTTAAAGCAGACACCAGCGGTCAGCTACAAGAAAACAGCTGGAGAGAACAGGCAAAATTCGCGCCAGATGGCAGACGACGTACATCGATCGACCCCGGCCGCACACAGACATGTCTGACAGCTGACTGACCACAACAACACATTCGCTGCAGGACTGTCGTATCAGTCTTCGGCGTATTTACAGCCTAAGCCTTGAGTTCGAATCCCAGTCGCGTCGGATTTTTCTGTTCTTAAAAAATTACTGTATCTCACAGGTCGACTCATGCTACAATGAGTACCAGGTAAAAATACCGGAAAGTAAAGGTGGTCAGTGTAATTTAAACCACATCAGCCATAATTGAGATAGATTGATTAACTTACTGATTACCCACTTCAGAAGCAGACAATCTCAATTCTTTGAGAAAGGAAAAGCTGGAGTACATCGTGACAGCAGGAAAATTGTGGGTAAAAGAGGCAAGGAAACACTTTCTGTGATACAAACTATTTCTGATGCAAATGTGCTTTTATGCCATGATGTCAAACCGATATCAACACTTTCTGTTTTATGCTTTCCTTGCCTCTTATATATATATATATATATATATATATATATATATATATTATATATATATATATATATATATATATATATATACACACAGTTATGTAAATATAGTATACCACCGACAGGATTTCTGAAACTACCGGGGTCTACCTTGACTAATTGAAATTGGTACCAGACAATTCCTGAGAATTATCTTTTAGAGACAGGCGACACGGGAGAGACCTGATCACCATACCTCGGTGGGCCGTGTCCGAGCAAACGTAAAGGTTTCTAAAAATTTCACTTCCCAACAGCTCAGAGGCACTTGGCAGCTAATGCACGACCCCCCCCCCCCTTCCTCTTTGCCCAATGGAATATTTTTTATGGAAGCTAACCCCTGAAACCCCCCCCCCCCCCCCCCGCTTTTTTTTTTAATCAGCGGTAATGCTATGGAACTTCTTCTACCTTACATTCTTTTCGTTACTGGAGTCTGTTTAGTAGCTGTAACAGTAATTCTGTTTTGTGTCATAGTATCACTGACAAGTCAAGTGCACTTTGTGCCACCCCCCCCCCCCCCCCCCTAAACTCAAAAAGCCGAGAACATTTGAGTGTTGCCTCTCTCTGTCTCTCCCCCTTTCCCACCCCGAAAGGCCAAGTAAACAACTGTTCCCCTTCCCACCTGCAAGAAAAACCAAGTACACTGCCCCTCCCCCCCCCCCCCGAATCTCCCCTTTTTCACCCAACACCTATGCTTTTTTTTTTTGGATCGCCCGTTCTAGTAAAATCTGCCTACTTATTTAGATGATCACCATACTGGCGAAAATTCAAATGCATCGTGTATTCTCCCCGACCCACCCCCACCCCAGCGCCTTTTTTAAAATTAGTTTACTGGCGATATTTATTTTTTCCAGTCCCTTCTTCTTTTTTTCTTTCTCGCTTTTGCCGACAGTAAACTCCAACAAAAATTCTTGACTTTTTTTGTTTATTTTGTAATCTGGTCTTGTTCAGAAACTTGAATTAAGCGTTGCACATTAGTTTTACTCATCTCGGAGACGGATTTTTTTTTCCTTTCAAAAATGACTTTGGCTCCCAACAAAGTACTTGGTATATTGACCAAATTGTTCATATTTGTGAAGCAGATATAAATTATTCTTCTAATAATCCGTCAGGTAGCGTTTGTCATCATATAGATCCCCAGCCTTCTGCTCCTGAGCCGACATGATTTTCTTTGCAGTTGTTTGAATTAATTTTTATGAGAGCAATAACCATTTTGAGCGGGTTGCCCTATACACTATTTCTATAGTGGCACCATCTGCCCTGCACAGCAACAGTTGTCACCAGACAGAAGCATTTCTCTGCTTGGCTCACCACTATTATCTATAACCTGCTTGCCAAGACTTATGCAATGATTGGGAGCTAATGGGTAGTTGACCTTTGTGTTGGAAACCAGTGCATGTTAGACTGGTTGAAGGACAGGTTGTGTGTTAGGATGATTGTTAAACAAGTTGGAGGGTAGGTTGTATGTTAAAGTAGCTGGAAGGAAGTTTGTACATTAGAAAGATGTATGAAAATTATGTTGCATGTTAGACTGGTTAAAAATAAGTTATTTTAGTAGACTGGTTGAAGGACAGGTTGTATGTTAGACTAGTTAGAGGGCAGGCTGTGTTAGCCTGTGTTGGAGGGTAGGTTGTATATAAAAGTAGTTAAAGAGTAGGTTGTATGTTAGACTGGTTGGAGGGTAGGTTTATGTAATACTTGTTGGAAACCAACATATGTTAGACTTATCGGAGGGTAAGTTGTATGCTAAACTAGATAGAGGGAAGGTTGTATGTGAGACTGGTTGGAGGGTAGGCCGCAGGTTATATTTGTTAGACATCCGTGTATGTTAGACTTGTTGGAGGCTAGGTTGTATGTTGGACTAGTTGGAAGGTAGGTTGTATGTTAGAATGGTTGGATTGTTGAAGTAAGAATCGACATCATAGCACTTGGGACAACCCTCATACACGCTGTCCCCATCTTCAGCAGCAAATAAAACGTTTCAATTCTGATGGCACCAGTAACTGTTTAATTGTATATCCATCTCACCCTTCCCTTGAGTGTTGAGTGACAGCCAGATCCCCTGATAACTCCTCACAGCGCCATTCTCCTCAGACCATAATGATCTATTTGAGCTTTCGCACTGTTCACTCGCTCCCAGAGAGCCCTCACGTCTAGCTTGTTATACATCAATTCACCACCAAGTGGTGCAGAACCGGCCAGTCTCTCTGCCTGCTCATTTCCCAACACACTGGCATATTGGAGAGAATATCCAAAGGATACTATCTGAGACCTCTTAAATACTTTTCTGAGTTTATGAAAGCACCCATTTCTGCACACTAGTCGTCACTCTGTCTACCGTCGCCTGTAGCTCTTGGGCTATCCGTTGCCTATTCTTCCCCTGCCTATATGCAAGAACATTATCAGCAAATGTCATTATCCTTCCAACATCTGGTGCTTCAAGTTCTGCAATCTTGCCTTGAAGATGAAGAGCACTGGTGAAATTGCAGAAACGTCTTCATAACCTACCCAGTGATTTATTCCCTCTAATTTGCTCATAAAATTGTCCTATTTAGCCTTTTTTTTTAGGCGCTGCAACTATTCTACTTTTTCTTTTCTATCTCTTTCTAGCTTCTCCACATCCTTTTGTAAGATGTGAGATGCCTTTCACACTTTCTGTAATTGCTTAACTGCTGCTCGCTTTGCTTTCCATGGCTGGAGAATGAATGGTTTAAGGGTAGGATGTATATTAAAATGGTTGATAGGTAGGATTTTTGTTAGAATGGTTAGAGGGTTGGTTGCATGTTAGACTGGTTGGAGGGTATGTTGTATGTTACTGGTTGGAGGGTAGGTTATTTGTTAGAGTGGATTTTGTAACTGTAATGGACAAAATGCTCAATTAGGAAACCAGAAACTGGTGTCTTACACATACAGTGGTTTGCACTGCTTACTATTGCTCAGATCAGGAGCATAACATGGATTTTCTGTCCAGGACATTTAGGAGTGGGTGGCAATGAGTGAGATGATAGCGTGGCTGTTGTCGCTCCTCTGGGCTGTGAGCTACCTGATGATAAAGTGGACATGATTGATGCAAAGGAACAGACAGGGTATCCATTCTCAAAAGACTGATTCAGTCAGGAGTAAGCAGAGGGTCTGGGTTGTTTTCAGCGTCAGGGGAAAAGATAGGCAGGCTTTTAATCAGGTTGTATTTGGCACCATAAGTATGGGAACTCTTCACTGGCGACTGAGGAAGGGGACAAAGCACTGTGTGGACATGTTCTATGTGCAGTGATGCCAGTTCTTGATTCATTCACAGTTCATGATCACGCTGGAATTACATTTAAAGCATAAGAATAACACAACCCTGTATCATACACTTTCATATTGTAATTGTTAAACTTGTAGGCAAAGTAGCTTAAGCTTAAATACCTATAAATCACAAATATCATCCATGCAAGCTTTGGTAAATAACCAACAACAACAAAACATTTTTAAAAAAAACTACCATTCTAAAATAGAAAATATGTGAAGAAAGATATCAACTCACAAATAACAGACAGTGATGTTTCTATGATGATTCTAAAAGTAAGAAAAACTAATAGAAACTTATAGTCCCCTGGTGTTTCAACTCTGAATACATGGCCTATCTCTAAAATGGAAAAAAGAAACTACTATACTGAGGAATAAAGTGTCCATAAATGCAGAAGTGAATACAAAATAAAAGATAGGTTAGATATAGCCTGAATACTGAATAAATAATGTGTCAGAAATACCGGTAGCATCTTTACATCAAGGACATTCATATGTAACTGCTGTAAACAGGATAATTGTTAGTAACCAGTATAGCAACAAAACTGTAATCTTCAACAGCAGGCATCACTTCCATGCCATGATAACAGGCCGTCATAAAATCTGCTTTTGCTGCCTTTCTCTCTCTCACCACATACCACAGCAGTTTTCAATATTCCAGCCCCCCCCCCCTTTTCCACACACACACCATTTAATGTGGCCAAAAATGTTTAATTCTTTTTATGTGACCAACAATTTTTTTTATTTTTTTCTTCTGATGTTCGTAATAAGCTGCCTTCAGATTTTGTCTTTCAAAATATTCTGATTGCTTATTTGAACTGCCTGAAGTATTTAAGCATTCTTCTAAAGATCTACATCTATGAGACGTTGAAGAGTTGTTTGGTTTCTATACCATTTGTCCAAGCTTCAAAGCTGTATGTTAAAAGTGGTTCCATGCAGATCTGTATTTAAGCTGGAATTGTTTACTAAACTTTTTATTTTGTTCTTCAAAGGTCTTTTTTTTTTTAAAGTCACTTTTATAACCACCATAATTTAACTAAGACAAAAATAAAACAACTGAAACTTCAACAGGAGGTGAGAAACAGAGAAGAAAGAACAACTGTCA